GCAGTCATTCAGTAATCCTTACTGATGTCACTTATCCCAAATGTTGTTCTAAAAACTTTGGGTACAACAGTAGAGATGTGTAGATGATTCAGTCTGTGTTAGGAATGGAACTAGGTCATTTTATGTGCATTCATTCCTTTAATTCTTCTAACAACTCAAGGTAGTAGGATCCACTATTATTCCCATTTCACAAATGAGGAACTGAAGCATGGACAGGAAAAGTAATTTGCCCAAGGGATCCAAGTGGAGCCTAGGCAGTCTGGCTATAGAATTGATGCTCTTAAACTATCTGCTTTATTCACTTCATGCATCATCTCCATTACTATAAAGAACATTATGTAATGTGAACATGATGTGAGATAGAGATGGCACAGAGAAGGGAGTAATTAACTTCATCAGAAATGTGTGTGTGTGTGTGTGTGTGTGTGTGTGTGTGTGTGTGTGAAACTTCACGGATAACAGCTTAGCAGAATATTTACAAGTGAGTAGGAATTTCTAGGTGCACAAGGTGAGTAATAACATACTTGCTAGAGGAATTGCATCTGCAAAATCATGGAAATAGACGCAGCATTGATTTTGGTTGTAAAAGCAAGGTTTTCATGCAGGGTTGTGGCATACTTAAAGGAGTGCTTTTTGAAAGACCACTGCATCCACGGAGCAGGAGGCAGGGGTGTTAGGTATAAGATTTGGGCAAATTCCAGGCAGAGGTGATGAGGCTGGCAGTCAGGCACTGCCTAGAGAGATGCAAAGGCAGGAGTAGATGTGAGTGACAGCCAGAGAACCTGGCACGGGATAGATATTTGATAAGCATTGTTTTGCATGAATGTCTGTGAGGGAGAGGTTGCCAGGTTTTGAACAACAGCCTGTGGGAGACTCATAGGACCATTAACAGATATAAGGCAGGTGGAGAAAGTAGATTGGGGACTGATAAATTCTCTTCAGCATGTTTGAGTTGGAGATGCCTGAAGGACAACCAGTTTGATGTGAGTGTCTTGCTCAGAGAGGTCGAGTTTAAAGCTGGGGCTATGAATTAGCTAACTGAGGAAGGACAAATCCTTGAGTTTTTAGCCCCTCTGATCTGCCACTCTTCTTTAAAGTGTAAAGCAGAATGCTAGTGTTGACATTCTAGGCTGCTGAGTGCCAAGGGATGACTGAAGTGTGTGCAGAGTACAAGTACCTAAATAAAGACAGAGCAATCTCATATCTACATGTGACAGGGACATTAAGCCATACCTGTCAATTGTTTATTCAGTGTGCAACCAAATGGCAAAAGTGTCCAACCCCCACACTCAAAAAATCAAGGTCAATTTTGAAGTGCCAGATATCTGGGATGTAAAAAGATACAACTGCCTAACTCTTTCTCTAAATCCCCAGTCTGTTTGTTTTTGACATCATGGAGAAGTGTGTGTTGGTGCTGGGTTTCAATTTCATGGTTGGACACTGTGAAATATTCTAGTTTGCATGTCCCTGGCGTGATATGAACGGCTTCAGGTATCCATTTACGTTTCTACTCACACTGAAAGCTGTTGAAATGAAGTCCCAGATGTCCCAGCCAAAGGCACCAGAGCCTGACTCACCTTATGCTTGAATTTCCTCAGACATCAAAAATAAGCCTTTTGGCTGTAGATCAAGAGGTTGGATAATGAGGACTGATGTTAAGCATATGGAGGGCAGTGGCAGGGAGGGAGGGGCACTGTCATAGAGGTAGGAATGACTATGGGAAAGCAAAGGGAATTCTTGTGACCTCCAGTGGCGATCCTGAAAGTTGTCTGAGATAATTTCATAGGTAGTTGGCATCCTAATCATATACATGTTCTGCACCAGTGCACAGTTGCAAATGACTGGGGTTTGTAGTAACATGTTGATATCATTTGCCAGTCCCTAAATCACCCTCCTATGTAAAGGCATAAAGTTCAGTGGACATTTGATTTTATGTTGGACTGGTAAATTTGAGGGATGGATGTGACCCAGTGAGACATTCTTCTCTCCAGATAAGAATTATGGGGTGAATCTGTCCAAGAGGAAAAAGGAATCAAGCAAATGTCTTAAGACAGGGTAGCCAGTGTGTTAATACCATCGTGGGAGTTGCAAGGGGCAAAGGAGGAAGAAAAGTCTATTTCTGTACTTCCCAGCATGGGCCAAGAAGCAGATGGCAGATTTGACAGCAGTGCATTTAGCAGAACTGTCACTCTGGAGTGAGCCACCTTGCCAAGTTGGCAGCAGCTGTGTTTGGGAGTATGGGAATTTATTAGATAGGAATTCCGGGTCTTTGGAGATGTGGTGTCTCTATGCAAGCAAATTAGGGAATCCAGATCATCATTAGGATCAATGGCTTATCTAGAAAACGGAGGCATAAAAGATAATCAGGGATGGGTTTCCTTTTTTAACGAAAGGAGTAAAAGGCTCAATTTAGGGAATTGTATTGATTCTCCATTCTTGTTGTTTTTGTTCTAAAACCTCAGTATCTACTTTTAATGTTGGAAATTGTATTAAATTGCAGAGTTAACTCTTAGCTGGGAATTTGACTGTTTTTTTTTTTTTGTGACTAAGTAGAACTCATTAATTTTAGAACTATTAATCATTACTAACAATAAGGCCAGAGATCCACTGGGCTTGATGCTGCAGATAAAGTTATGAATCGTTCCTATCCTCATGGAGGTTATAGTTATCAGGGAAGATGAATAATAAAATGGGAAATTAAGATGTAATGTGATAGGTGCTCTGAAGGATTAGGTCCAAAGTGCAATGGAAACACAAACTGAGGGCAATTAGCCAGCGTTAAAGGTGAAGAACAACATCTTCAGGAAATCATGCCCGCACTGAAACTGATGGGTATATAGGTCAGGAGGTGCCAGGGGAAGATGGACAAGGCTGAATGTCCCTCTAGCAGAGAAAACTATATGCAAATCCTGGAAGGAAGAAGAAAGTTTGGCCAGAGCATATGTGGAGGTATGAATGTTTGGGAGGGTGAGTGAAAGCACATACTTGGTGAGTTATAAAGTTTGGGAGATAAGAGCAACATACATGGCCTTGTGTGCTAATTAAGGAATTTGTTCTTTATTCTGAAAGTGTCAGGGATCCATAATGATTTTACAGAGGACCTCATATTTGTACATCAAAAATATGCCTGCTTGTTGTATGAAGAGAAGCCTGAGATCAGAACATAGGAGAGTTAGGAGGTTCAGGAAGTACTAAAGAGGAGGGATGATCATGGCCTCAATGAAGACAGTGTCAGGGGCAGAGTGTGAAATGGAGAAAAGTAATTTGACTTGAGAAACTTAAGGAGGGAGCATTGCTAGGATTTGGGCACTTCATGGACACGAAGTTGAGTGAGAGGCAGAAGTTGGAAGGACCCCAGGTGCCAGGGTGTGGGTGCCAAGGAGAATGCTGGTGCCATTCACTGAGAGGGGACTACTAGAGCAGAACAGGTTGTGTGGGGCATGGGGTTGCTGCCGGTCAGGTTCTGAGAGGGAAACCAACTCTGAAGCAGAGATTTCCATAGGCTTCATTAGGAACTTCTTCCAGTATAAATTCTGGGGTAGTAATGAGGTAGTGAAAGAAACAGAATTGGGCAGGAGGAGAAGTTGAATTCAGTGCAGTTACAAACACCTCAATTATTCCTGTAGGGGTTCTTCAGAACTGTAATTGCCTTTCAGAGTTGTCCTAAGTGGAGTAAGGAAACTAGAACTTTATACCACCTTCATCTACCACTTATTGGATATAGGCTATCCCAGGAAGGGGAATTGACGTTGGACAAGGTGACTCTCTATAACCTAGGACAAGTTCTAGATAGTCAGCTGAGAGCTGCTAGCTGCCAACTGTTCCAACAACCATTGGACTGTGTCTTTTGGTCATGGAAGGGCTTGGGGTAGCACACCACAGTATCTACTACAGAGCTATGATGTTAAGTAAACTAGTGTCTCTGGGCTTTTCTCTTCCCATGTTAAAAGAAGGGGATGGATCAGCTAATTATAGAGGATATACATACTTAAACATTCCACGAGAATCAGAAGACAGTGGAAGTAGGGAATTACCACGTGTAATCGACCTGTTTTTAACAGGTATAGAAATGGAGACCCTTTAAGATGAGGTGGTTTTATAAGATTGACAGTGAGTTTGTGGGAGAGAGATTTTTTTTACTGCTTGTGCATGTCTTTACTTCTGCTTCTCCTGAGAGTTAGGGCCAGAGAGGCACTCATCAGGGCAGGAGAGGGAGCAATCAGGCCTTTGCTTCCTGGTTCCTGTTGAAGTGGCTAGAGACTGGTGGACTCACATTAGGGTCATATCAAATTGATGTGTTTTGCACTTGCTTAAAGTGAGTCAGCAAGTTAAGGACCGAGTCCCAGTGGAATCTAAATTGAAGTTCCATTTATGCTCCTCTTTGAAATTTTCTACAGCCCTACTTTTACCCCCTGCCCTCCTTGTTAGCCTGTTAGGCTCACCTTTCTACAGAAGTCTCTCTAGCACATTGACGAAGCAATTTACTAGTTTGTCTTGTATTTCTCAGTTGTCTCTGAGTGTCTTAAAAACACATAGGCTAAGAGCACTTACCTACCATAATGACAAGGAAAAATAAATGGCATCCTTCTCCATTGTGGCCACAGTTTTCGGATGAATGGGGCATAGATGAACCTCCTTTTATTTTATAGCTGGAGTGACAATCAAAATTACTACTAATTGTACTCTGTTGATGGTAACCAATTCTTCCTTGTTCTAACCCCTTAATACATTAATTCATTTCTTTATTCCTTTGGCAGCTGCAATAAAATAATTATATGTCCTTGGTGTGAATGCAAGATGAACATGATCAAGATAGGCCTGACTGGGGAATTCAAAGGTTATCCCCCACACTATTCCCATGTCTGGCTTTAGACAAAGAGATCTGTATTGCTTAGAATCAGGGAATCTATGTTTCTGTGGAATCTATAAAAGTTGGATGACACCTCTGACATTTTGTTGCACAGCATGAACAACTGACCCATTTTTCTGTTTTATTACAGCAAAATGTATCTATGGAGGAAGAGTTCTTGCAGAAGGCCAGCGGATTTTAACCAAGAGCTGCAGGGAATGCCGAGTAAGTTTTAATCTTATGTTCCTGTCACTTTTGGAGAGTTAATAGATAGATGTGTGGGTTTTCAATAAGGTTCTTGAGCATGCTTATTGGCCTGGATGGGTTCCTGATGGATAAAGCCCTCTGCAGTGGGCGGGAGTCAAGGATGGGGGCGCCCAGTCACTACTAGAATGTGATTAGCTTATAGTCAGCTGTGGATTAGGTACCAGGGAGGAAGCCTTAGGAAAGATGTGAAAGTGGAGAGTTAGCAGCTTCTATGAGACAGTGAAGTTGGGTGACCCTGGGGGAGGGTTTTGAGTTGGTGTTAGAGGAAATGGTCTATGATGCTAGCTGTAACAGTGCCAGCTCTACTCCTAGTGGCTAATGATGGCTAGAAGATGCCTTGTCTTCTGTACACCTGCTCCTATGAAATAAGATGTATAGAACCATAGACTTCATTCAGTAATTGTCCAACAAATGTGCGTTAAATAAATTCTGTATTCCACTATTATCCTGGGTTTTGGGAATACAGCAGTGAATGAAAACGTTCTATCATTATATTATTTGCAGTCTAGTGAGCTAGATAGTAAGAGAATAAACAAATATACCATATAAGGACAAATTCTATTCTAAAATCATGAAGTAGGCTGAAAGGATAGAGGTTTGGGGTGGGGATTAGTGGTCTGGGAAGGCCTCTTTGAGGATGTCATTTTAGAATAAAGCCCTGGATAAGGCATGGGAGTCAGCCATAGAGTTATGTGAGTGAGAAGAATTCCAGGGAAAGGGAAAGCAAGTACAAACAGCTTGAGATGGGAGCTTACTTGACACTTTCAGGGATGAACAATTATACCAGCAGAGCTGAAATAGAATGAGTAAGGAGAGGGCAGCAAGAAATGAAACCATAGGGGTAGCCGGGGCTGGATCATTTGGGGCTTGTGAGATAGAATATTAAAGGTCCTGTGGTTTGACATTTTTGCTTATTCACAAATCTTTCTCCATTGTGATGATTCAATTCACTTTGTTCATTCATTTATCCTTTCATTTATTTAATGAATATTTATTGAGCCTATACCTTTTGTCAAGTGTTATTGCAAGAGATGGAGATATAGTGATGAACAATTTTTTTTCTTTTTTTAGTATTTCATGAAATATTTTTAGAACACCTGCTGTGAGCCAGACAGAGAGCAAGAAATTGGAATTAAATGAGAGACTTTATAGTTCTCTGAAGATCTTGACATAAACGAGGAAGAGAGAAGTAAACCAAGTTATAGTATGGGATATTTAGGCTTACGCTGTTGGGAAGTCCTTCATGCTATATAATAGCATTGATTAGAAGCCCTTGAATCAACAACAAAGGGTTAAACAGGGCTTCTGGAAGGTGGTAACTGGTCTTTATGGGTAATTGTTTCCTAAGTGGGTGAAGGTAAAGGCACATTCCAGGAAAAAGGAATAGCATTTACAAATGCCAAGAGTCAGGTATTATTTAGGGAAATACAAAAAATTTGACTTGGTGAAGTCAAATGTGGGAGAATGAAGAGAGACGAAGCTACAGAGACAGAGCAGAGAATACCAGTTTTGAACTTGATCTTAAGGTGAAGGTCCATTGAAGGGGTGCGTGCAGGTGTGCCATGACAGCTTTGCATTTTCAAGGCTCATTTTGATTGTGTGGAGGGGATCATGGGGAGCACTGGGTGAATTTGAACAACTGTAGAAATGCTAATGACCTAAGGCAGTGGCCAGAGGTGACAGAAAAGATGAGATTTGAGCTGTTTAGAAATAGAATTAAAAAGACTCCATGAATAGTTAGATTTGTGGCTATAGGAGGAGGAACCAAGTAGATGTCGAGATTCCTGGCCAAAGGGAATGACATTTGCTGTTTTTGGTTGCAATTGGCAGAAACCCTCTCTGAATAATATAGGCAAAATTATGATTTTATTGGAAGGAAATGAGACCACTCACATAATCCTTAAAAAGCCAAAAGACCAGACTTGGGACTAAGCAGAGACTATGTAGTCCGCAAACTTTAGAAGCAGAGTCCATAGCCATGGTCTAGGAAGGAGCAGTCTGTCAGGCATATCTTTGCTGTGATGAATCACTTTCAATCATTTCTACTGTCCTTAAGTCATTTATAGAAGATTTAAAGAGTTGGGAGTGGGCATTTGATTAATAAAGCTAAAAAAATGGGACTATTTTGAAGCTGAGAACAAGTGGAGAAAAAATGGAACTAGTTCTAGATATGTAGAGCTTGATAGTATTTGGCTTTCAATTGCTATATAACCAACTCCCTAAAACTTGGTGGCTAAGAGCAGTATTTTATTATCTCTCAGGGTTGTATGGGTTGAACAGGCTGAGCTGGATGATTCTCACTTTGGGATCTCACATGTTGCTGGAGCTAAAGTCCTGTAAGGCTTGACATGGCTGCATGTCCAAGATGGTTTCTTTATTTATATGGCTAACACATCAGCTAAGATGAATGGAACAGAAATTTCTCTCTGTGTTTCTGTCTCTATGTCTATTATCTCTCTCTTTCTCTTGGAGGCCTCTAGAAGTGGTTACCTTGGGCTTCTTTACAACATAGTTGTCTCAAGGTTTCTTACTTGGTGGCTAGGGTTTCCCCCAGCACAAACCACCCAAAAAATCTGATGTAGAAATTCCAGTGTTTCTTATAACCTAAGCTTGATAGCTGTGCAGTGTCACTTCCTCTATGTTCTTTTGCTGATATAGGGTGAGCCCAGATTCATCACAAAGGATGATACAAAAGCATGAATACGAAGAGGCATCATCAGGGAGACAGGCATCACTGGACACCAGCTACCAAAATAAGACTTTGTGATACAGTTTTTCTATTTGAAAATACCCCTGTTACCAACCCAATAGGTAACCATTCCATGGCTAGAGAACATTAAGTGATCAGCAAATTCCTTTAAATGAGTGAAAATCTACGTTTCAGTAACTTCTACCCAGTGAAGTAGCTTTTGCCCTCCAGAGAATAAGAGTGAATCTGTTTACTTTTGCAAGTAACACTGTGGTTGAAAAGTCAAAATCTGCACTCAAATGAACCTGGATTTAAATTCTGGAATTTGACCTGGTTATTAGTGAAGTTCAGAGTTTCTCGCATTCTTTTCTACCAAGGGGTTCCAGTAAGAGCTGGGTTGGTAGGACGTGCTTAGTTTAGGTAAAAGAAGTGAGGGTTCTTATATCCTCCTGCATGTTTTCCCTCTCCTGATCCCTCAAACCCACTACAACTTAAGACAATTTTATAGGCAGAACCACCCACCCTAGGGGATTGTGAATGACATCAACTTCAATAAGGGAATGTTTGCCCCATTGCCTTTCAACCAGATATCCCTTTCTTGTCCAACGTTAGCCGGGAAAAATTGGACAGAATAGAAACACTGCCTACATGTCTAGTCTAGGTTGTTAGATAGTGGAATCTGAAGCATGGACTTTTGTGTTGATGCTTTATTTATTTAATCTTTGGTGGTGATGGGGAAGGAGAGGTACAGTTCTAGAAATGAAAGAGAGGGACAGACCCAAGGAAGTAATAAAGGAAAGGCAGGGGAGCAAACATAAGAGCATGCATTACAGAGAAGCCACAGCCCTGAGACAAAGCACAGCGGGTTTTGTGAGGCATCTCCTGAGAGGCTGACAGAACCACTGTGTCTCAGAATAGACCCTCTTTGCAAGTGCTTTTAACTACTTTATTTCATTTTCTTCTCATCAGGTCCCTAGAGAAAAGGAAGGAATGTATTTTGAAGATTGAAGAGAATGAGGCATATAGAGACTGAACAGAAGTTTTCTAACAAAAGAGCTTAAATCGTGTTCTTTATAAGAGTTTGAAGAGAAAGGGCCCTTTTGCCATATCCTGTCTCTCACTGACCAGAATCTACCTTAGGGGTTAATCCCTTTGAATATCCCTACTGGATTTCTCATTTGCCTCTTTTGGCTGCCAGTAGGAATGCCAGAGACTCCATGGGTCCCGGAAGTTTGGTGGATACATAGGTGTGGTGGTCTCTCTGTGTCCATAGGTGCTGGTTATAGGGGCTTCTTAGCCTGTGGCAGAAGCAGGAATGGAGTGACAGTGAGGGCTTTGTGATCTCTCCATCAACAAGAAAATTCCCAGTCCTTGGAGTGTGGTGGGATAGGAGGGGGTGATTATTTACCTAGGACTAGCACAAGCCCATTACCACATTGGGACGTTGTTTGGATTAAAGAAGACAAAGTATGTGAGTAATTTAATGCAATGCTTGGCACAAAGTAAGTCCTCATTAAATGAGAGCTATTTTTATTATTTTACATCACTATGTATGTCCTACTTGAATATAAGACAGATGTCCTGTGCTCTGTAAATTGTTTCACTTCTAGGGAAAGGAAATTGATTTAGATTCTAAAACCCTTGCTTTTCTATTTTACCTAGGGAAAGCTCAAATGATGAAAGATAGTTTCCCCCTCTGCTTATGATGCCAGCACCAGCCATGGATCCATCATTTATAACTAGCAGCCCCTTTTTACATATTGGGTGGAGGCAGTGAGTCACTCTGGCTAGGGTCACTATTATGACTTCATCTCTGTTATTATCAGAGAGGATCAAGGCAGACATATTTGGGACCCGTGAAAGATACATTGATTTAAATGAATTTAAATGCCAACTCATCTGCGCAGTACTTACCACTGTTACTGGCACATTGTGGATGCCATATATACTTCATTTCATCTTTTTATGTTCGGTGTTTTTTTTTTTTTTTAACAATTTAGAAAGAAGTTGAGCAGACGGGTTATTCTCTTTGCACAACTGGAGTGTGCATGCATGCGTGCATGTGTGTGAATGCACATGAATAATTTTATCCTCTTTAAAAAAAGACATCATGTTTTTATTCATTGTCTTTCAGCAGTTATTTACGAAATGGTTACTTTGTGCACAGAGAGAAGGGCATTTGACAGTATTATTTAACATTTCTTGAGCACTTACTATTTTCTTTTTTAATTGATTTTATTTTTAAAAAATGCATGACAGCAGAATGCATAACAATTCTTATTACACATATAGAGCACAATTTGTCATATCTCTGTATATGAAATATGTTCACATCAATTCATGTCTTCATACATGTACTTTGGATAGTGATGTCTATCATATTTCACCATCATTGCTAAACCCCTGCCCTCTCCCTACCCCTCCCACCCCTCTGTCCTACCTAGAGTTTGTCTATTCCTCCCATGCTCCTCCTCCCTACCTCATTATGAGTTAGTCACCTTATATCAGAGAAAACATTCAGTATTTGTTTATTTGGGATTGGCTAACTTCACTTTTCTAGACACTGTTTAAAGCATTTTAAACATATTATTCTATGCAAGCCTCATACTAACCCTGAGAGGTAGATACTGTATAGAATTGCAAATTAGGTCACAGAAGAACAAGGCCACGTGGCTGATGAGTGAGCTAGCTGGGTGCAAGATCTTTGTGGTCTGGCTCCATAATTTCTTCTCTTTGCCTCCCCTGTTGCCACTCCTGATGCTGTTAGACTTATTTGGAAATATTTTTCACATCTGAATTTTAGAGGGGTAGATTCAGAAAGATTGAATGATTACTTTTCAATCTATCTAGGAATCCAAATTGGTCAGGCTAGGACCCATTGATTCTCTTGGTCAAGTGTAGCATTTATAAAAGCACAAAGAAGAGCACTGGGACACACTTAATGGATGTGGAGAGAGGGGACTAGGTATAGGATAAGAAGTCTTCTGATCTCCAGCAGACAGCCTTTCTAAAGATTTAAGCCCCAATGCTCTATGGCATCTGTGTTAGTCAGTTTTTTGTTGCTGTGACAAAAAATCTGACAAGAACAACTTAGAAGAGGAAAAGTTTTTTGGGGGCTCAAAGTTACAGAAGTTCAGTCTATGGTCGTCCAAGTCCATTGCTTTGGTTTGAGATGAGGCAGAACATCTTGGTGAAAGGGTGTGATGGAGCAAAGCTCAACTCATGGCAACTGGAAAGCAGAGAAGGAGAGACAGGATGAGGCAAGGGAGAGATGCCGTTCCCAAGACCACTCTCCCGGTGACCTACTTCCTCCAGCCATGCCCTACCTACCTACAGTTACCATCCAGTAGTTTATTCAAATGATTAATCCAGCAAATGGATTAATCCACTGATGCCGTCAGAGCTCTCATAATACAATTTTTTTAAAACCTCTGAATAATGTTGCATTGCCTAATAGATGAGCTTTTTGGCAAGGGGGGGTGGCATTTCAGATCCAAATCATAATAGCATCTATTGTGTGTAATGAATTGACTTTTTTCCTATACATCTGAAATGGTACTATATAAGTACTATCCTAGAGATATTAGAGGAAACAATATGTCAAATAAATTTCTGTGTTCTGAGATTCAAATGGAGATCCCCAGTTGATAAAATACAACTTGAAGATCCATCCATTTCCATTTTTTTAAAAAGTCTTCAGCCATAAGAGGAAAATCTTTGGTGTCAAATATTTTCCCCAAGTATTTCCAGAAGTTAATGTATTGTTTTTTTAAGTTAAAATGAATAAACTTAATATTTCTCAGTATTGCTCTTTTTGCAACATTTCTTTAGCCTAGCAATACTTTGTGACTTGAAAATGTTATTAGAGATTCAAGTTTAGCACAGTGATTAGTATGGAACTTAAAATTGCTTTTATTTGACCAATGACATGGAGATTGTAACTCTTAAATGAGAGTATTACAAGAATGGTATTTTCCCACTAAACCCAGAGCTCAATGCAGAGACCATAAAATAACATACCATAATCAGGATGATTTAAGAATGTTAATCATAAATTACTCTCATTGGAGATAGTTTTCAAAATAAAGTTAAAAAGCTTTGTGTCTAATTATGTAGATGGACTAAATGGGTTTATTGGCACTTATGCAACAATAATCACAGTTCATATTTTAAATTCAAGCACAAAGGTTTTTCTCTAAACATTTGGAATTATGATCTTACTCATTAAATATGTTAGAGGTTGATTAGAATTATTGACTGATTTAATCAGCAGTCAAAGCAAGCCCCCTTTGTAAAAAGAACCTTTCATGAGTGACTTTTTTTTAAAAAATGTTTTCATAGCCTTTTCAGTATTGTTTTGTTTTATAAAAACAGTGTATACTCATTTTATATTTGGAATTTTAAAAAGTAAGAGGTTAGGAAATAAAGAGCAAAATTAAAGAAAAACAGGACAAAGAATGCTATACTGTCTGGGTGGGAAATTATGAGGTGAGCAAACTATGGTACAGATAATTTATGCAAAAGATGAGCAGTGGAGATTTACATTTGACATTTAATATTATACCTATGCTCATATTTAAGAACGGGTATGCCTGATAACAGTGGGAGTTCTTGCCAACCTTAAAGGTGGAGAAGCAGGGAGATACTAGAATGAAAAGTCCTGTCCAGCTGCACCCTGTTCTCCCTCCTGTGTTTGGATCTGCCTTTTGGCTTTGCATGAGACTCCCCTTCTGGAGCTTGCTTCTTGGTTGTCTTAAACGTGAACATAAGAATGGGAGAGAAAAATTAAATGTTTTAGATGTAGTGAGGTCCTCTTCCATCTTTTTAAAGAGTAATCAATGGGCCAATTTTTAAAATTCAGCATGAAACTCAACACAGATGCAAGTGATGCCAATAAAGAGGGCCTTAGATGAAGTTTGGTTATAAAGATTCAACTACTGAATATTTAACACTTTATCGTATGTAATTTTACTTACATCTAGGGGAAAGCTGGTGCTCATCTAACGGATGCTTTTTCAGTACCGCGATACCTGCATAGCTCAGCTCTTGTCTATTTCCTCTGCTAGCAAGGTTTCTTTTTCTTTTATTTCATTATTTAAGTTTCCTGAAATGTGGCATCTTCATAATTTCTTCCCATCTGACAAAATTAATTGTTCTCCTATGACTCATTAGAATGCCTCTATCAAAGCCCATGTTTTTAGAACTTACTCTGCTATATTATGGTTTTTAGTTTAAGTCATTTTTATTTCCTTCCACCCAAACTGTGAGCTCACCAAGAACAAGGAAGATGTCTTATTTATTTTGAGGTTCACAATGCCTGTTACCCAGCAGAATGATGGAACTGACTCTCTTAAGCTCACTATATATAATTCCCCACCTCTCTTTTCAATGATATTGGGTTGGTAGCTCAAAATCAACCATCGTTAGAATACTTACACCATAGAGATCAATAAACCTCACAAATTAGACCTTCTCCACTCGAATCAATTATTAAAAATGTATCAGCATATCACTGTTAGCATCCTTCTGTTTTAAAGTAGATACTCAAAAACATTAGACTGATCTTTTTTCATACCGAAAAGGAAATATGCCTTCTCTTCTAAGAGTCTCATCAATTTAATTTGCAATGTTATCATAATTAATGAAGTTCCTAGGAGTGGTATTAGTTATTGTAGGTTGCTATCACTGTAGGCTATTAACAATGAGCATTATACTTTGTATCATTGGCTAAACTTATGGACATCTTTTTTGTTTTTTTGTTATTTGGCTTCTAGGGTGGAGTTTTAGTAAAAATTACAGAAATGTGCCCTCCTTTGAACTGTTCAGAAAAGGATCACATTCTTCCAGAGAATCAGTGCTGCAGTGTCTGTAGAGGTAAGAGGGCTTGGTGAGGGGGCTGTGCTTAGGTGGGGCTGGGGTGGCTGTGTGAGGGTTCAGTGAATAGTGCACCCGTAATAACATGGATCCTAACCTCTGCTCTGCTGCTTAGAAACTTGAACATTCTATTTACCTTTCTCAGTCATAGTTTCTTCAATTGCAAAATGAGGATGATAATAATAGTACCTACCTCATAAGACTGCTGTGAAGATTAAATGGGATAATGCATAAACACCCAGCATAATACTCAGCATGTGATAAATGTTCAATAAACGATAGCTTGTATAATAATGCTAATGATAGTTCCTGTAATAATAACCATTATCATCATTATGACATTTTTCTCATGAGTGGGATCGAGAAAAATGACTTATGGTGAATTCTTACTCAAGGAATATGTTTAGATGCAACTTTATTTTTATTTCCTTTTAGGAAAAAAAAAGCTTCAAATAATTAACACTTGATTGCTAATTAATTCTTGGGCAAAATTTTTTTTTGCTTCCTCTTCCTAGAATTACCTTCATCCCCAAATGTATTCCTATTTGTTTGAACTCCAGCTCAAGTGTCACTTCCTCTCTGAAATGCTCACTGGGGCAGAATTAGATGCATTAGGAGAACCTCAGCAGTTATACAAAATCTTAAAAAGAAATCTTGTTAGACTCATAGCTGTTATTTTGAAACTATACTTATCCCCAAATTTTTCACTTTCTCAATTATTCTCAAATTAGATTCTTTTTGGCTGAACTTTGATGCTTCCAGTGTTAAGGAAGGAGGACTCAGTAACCTAGCAGTTTAGCTCAAGTAGCCTTATATTTTATCATCTTTTCTTTGGTGCAGGGGTTGTCTAAAATTTTCTTTAAAAGTTCTCAAAGTAAATATATATGGGATAGAAAATTTTAACAGAATTACAACTACTAAGCTCTGCTACTATAGCATGAAAGCAGCCAGGAGCTAAGGTAAATGAATGGATGTGGCTGTGTTCCAATAAACTTTATTTTCAAAAATGGGTGGTGGCCCCAAATTTGCTGACTACTCCCTAATATCTTTTGATATATTAAAATATATATTTTGCCATGATGTGTTTTCAACTTAGGTTGTGATTTCTCTCTCCAATCCCAAGTGAACTATGCCCTGGCAAAATTCGTAGGAAATCTTTGTATGATGATAGCCAAGAATGGCTCTTAGAATCAGGGACATGCTGAGCATGCTCTCAAGAATGTCTGCCCTGATTTATCTACTTTTATGACTATAAGCAAATTGGCAGCTGGGAAGCCTTAGAAACGCCTAAAACTTGAGTGGAATTTTCAGAGCGATGCATTTATTGGTAACCAATAAGGTTGTTAGGTAGGTCTTATAATTTAATGCAAAATCCATCACTTGTGATTTGTTGAGGTGCCAAATGGGACTCAGTTTATGCAAATCCTTTCTGATTTATGGTTTCATTAGAGCTGAATCATTGATTAGACCACAGAAATTCAGGATGGATTTCATTGCTCTGACCCAATTTACTATAGAGCAGGTGCCGCTGCTTCTGCTAGCGTTTCTCTGGAATGCATGCCCTTCTTTACCAGTAGATACTGAGAGGTGTCACATCTTACTGAAAAGCAAGCTTATACAGTGCTCCCACTGCTAGCAAGCTGGTGGCTTTTCCCAGACCTGACTCAGCTAGGGAAGAGTGAGAGGCATGAGCAAGACTTCGTGGACTTGATCTTAGCCAGGGCCACTGTGAAATTGAGGACTTTCTCCTTCCCGTTTCTTTCTCAACTAGGTAATCTTGCATTTGGAAACAGATGGTTTTGAATGGAGATATTTGTGTATGAGAGTTTGTTTTGTGCTCTCTGACAAGTCTACATTTTGACAGGAACATGTCTTCAGGATAGATGTGGCAGGGAGGGACTTCCATTGGGAAGTTGGATTAACTAAGCCATTTGGGCCCATGTGTTCTCTTCACTTTCTTCTATACTACTCCTATCTCAAAATTTCAGACAATGGAATGAAGGAAGCAATGTTTCCCCACTAAGGCCATTTTCAATACCACCTACCATTATTGCCTCCTCCTTTCCTATTGACACATAACAGAGAACAGTCCAGAACATCCTGCCCACTTGTCCACATGCTCAGATCTGTGTGCATCAGGTGGCGAGAAAAGGAAAGGTATGTCAATCTGGGCAGTAGGGTATCTCTTTTTCAAAAGACACATACAGTTTAAATAATGATTAAAAAATATCCAGATGAGTGATGGGCTCAAAATCCTATTGTCTTGTATTATGTTCTGTATGAAGTTTACTCCATTTCTCTTAATTCCAATTTATTTCCCAAGAGCATCTTTACATAATTTTGTGAGAAATACTTTTCCCTTCTTGTTGCCCCCCCCTCCCCCTTTACCTTCATGTTTGTGTTTTTTGAGTGGACTCTTGGAGGAAGGGAAGCAGCCTGGACAATTTCTATTTTAACAAGACTTGGAAAGCCCAGGCATCTCTTCTAAGGAAAATTACTCAGTTTTTCTTATCTTTCCTCTTTCTGCCCCCCAACCACAAACAAAACAGAAAGTGGTGAAAAGATGAGAAACACCCAACTTCCAACTTCTATGTGAAGTAATGTTTATCCTGCAATTGGAAAGGCCACAGTATTTGCTTTGTGGATGCATATTATCCACCGAATAACAAAGAAGCTTCTAGTTGGAAGTCTGATGAGATGAAAAGTGTATTTCAGGGATGAGCACTGTGGTGTGACACAGCTGTATGGCTTCTGCCACCCTGATGCTATTGACTACAGAAACCAAAGTGGCTGTGACCTTTCGATGCTTGCACCAAAGGCCCTTCAATTAGCATATTTATCATCTCTCTCTGTCTCACTGTGAGTGTCATATCATTACTCTAAGGAAAATTATCCCTTGAGAGTATCCTTCCTTAGAAATCTAAGTTGAAAATCTTTTTATGTCTGCTTGTGGAATTTGAAATTTTCCACGGTTCATTCTCATTAGGACTCATATAAGCCACCTCACCTGGAGAAGCTCAGATTGGACATTTGAGGAAACTGCCTAAGAGGGGTTTTTATCCTCAATCTCAGTTGGTTGACAGTATGTTATCTGTAAGGACTTCCAACTTTAGAAAAGAATAACACTTTTTTAATGATCACATTTTATAAATTGATTCTCTAAATGTAGGAGAAGGGTAGGGGTGAAGATATCTTCCTGTCACGTAGAATGTTTTTGTTATTTTCATGCCAACGTCTTTGAACGATGATAGTCTTCTCTATTTCGCAGATGAGATGGTGTTAAAGCCCATTTCGCTGAGTTTCGACTCCTTTCCCCAAGTTATAACTTATTAGTTTGATTGTGTAATTATTTTTTTTGACTTAGTGATGCACATTTTCTTATGTATTTTACTGCACTCCCCCCTCTTGACTGCTAAAAATAAAATATGCAGACTGTAGTTTTACACTGAGTTTTTCTCTTTGTGCAAATTAAACTTAAGACCTTGTGGTAAACAGTACTCAGTGTCTCAACAGAAGGTGTGTACAGATTAGGGCCTCAGACACCTTGCCTCTCCAAATCTTGAGTCATGCCAAATGCAATAACTAATTCCCCCTCTCGTTAGAGAAAAATGAAGGTTAACAGTTGAATAGGTAATTAAATCCATTGGGTTATTGGTGCAGCCAAAATGACCTTAGGAAAAGGATATACAACAGTTTGGCAAGACACATGCAAAAGGAATAAAGATGATAGACTCTAGCAGGGGAGGCCACTTTGGGATCACTGGGGGCTCAAGGTCTCAGTTGTCAGCAGTGTCACTCAGAACAGTGCTAATCACTGCTGCAGCCTTCCTCTGATGCCTCAGAATGGTTTGTATTGACAGCATAAAATTTGTTTACGCTCTTCATTATCTTGAGGTAATCCTCCTAGCAGAAGCCTGCTGGCTTGAAGTGTGAGACCATTGTGGGTGTGGGAGGGGTGCACATTGGAGTGACATCTATTCTCCTTCCTGGAAAGAAATAATAAAGGCCTGAATGTAAACCCAGCAGAAAAAGATTACTCATGAATTTCTGTTGCTTTCTGTTAAAGGCTGAAGAAAAAAGTAAAAAGTCAACATTCTTGACCATGTATTCACATGCCCGCTCCAGGAAAACACAGCAATCATTTGACTCATCCCAAAATTTTTGACACTCTCCTCAGGGTTTTATTTCCCTCATAATCTGCTCTAATTGTATCTTCAGTGTTGCCAATGACTTTGGAGGGCTTTGCTGCATGTTAATGTCTTCCAGTGTTGGGGGAAAAGTTCTTCCCAACATCTGTTCCAAATGTGTTTATCTGTAATTTTAATTCATGCTCACTTGCCTTGTCATCTGGCCTGGGCTGAAATTAGTTGAGATTATTTGTACTATTTAAGATTTTATGCTCTTCAATTAAATCCTCCCAACGAGTCTTGGCATGGCATCACATGATTTCCTCCCGGTCTTCCTTGTTGTTTTAGGTGAATTCAGAATGAAATGGTTTGAGAGAGAGGATTCCAGGATATTTGAAATGAAAGGAGACCTAGAAAGGTACTTGATGAGAATATAAACTAAGAGGCACAGCATGAGAATATAAGCTTATGTGCAAATAGAGGAACTAGCAGTCGGTAGATGGGCCAGGTCCTCTGCATAGTGATACATGATCCATAGACACCCCAGTGACTATGAGCTAATATAATGTAGGAAGACAGGGCTGAGGCTAGGAGCAGAGGGCATTTCAAGTACAGTGTCAGGGAGTTCATGAATTCAGTGGCCCTGAAAGTGCTCCAATGAATGAGGGTCTAGAAGTCCCCAGAATGAGGCAGATTGTTCCAGAGAGACCTGAAACTAAGGCTAGACAACCTTGGAAAAAAATACCCTTAAATCTTGACTGCTATGGAAGAAACCAATTGCGTTCTAAAGTGGAAAGGACTGTTCTCATCCTTTAGGGCTCAGGTTTCTCCTTGGCATGTGTTTTGGTTTGGAGTTGAGTAGGGATCCAGATC